TCCTGGGCCAAGCAGAGGTGAAAGATGCCTGAGGACTGATATTTGAGGTTTTCTTACACTCCCAACATGCACACTGTGCACATGTGCACCCACGCTCACAGGTGCACGCTGGTGTACACACTCAAATTACAGAAATGAGGTGGGGAAAAGGGTAAATGGGGTTGTGCTTCTCCTTCTTCTCCTTCCTATTTTCTTTTCTAGTTTTGCTGTTTGGTTATTATGGACACAATGTAACCAATGGCCTCAAGCTCCTGTTGCTATTATTTCACTACCATAGTGGACTATCTTCTCTCAAACTGTGAGTCCAAACAAACCATTCCTTTCATAGGTTGCTGTTGTCTTAGTTTTTGACACAGCAACAAGAACAATAATTTTATTCTGTATTTATATGTTCATCAGAGATTTTTATATTGCCTTATTTTATTATTATTTTTATTGTTTATTTGGGAATTTCACATCATGCATCCTGATTTTACTCACCTTCCAGTCTTCCTTTCTGCCTCACTCCTCTGTGACTTCCCCTTCCAAATCAAAAGTCTATTTTATGTTGTCTATATATTCACTGGAACATGGCCAAATTCCTAGTGTCCAGCCCCCTAGGGGAGGATAAGTCTTTCTCCACCTGTATCCCGACCAGAAGCCATCCACTAAGGAGAGCTGTTTGCTGGCAGGAGTTGGGCAAAGCCAGGTCTCCTGAACCCATGCCACTCCCTGCACCTACAGTGCTCTGGACCGGTGAGGGGCAGAGTCAGGTCTCCCACAAAAGGCAGGGTCAGCTCTTCAGTGCCCATAAACATTAACATGGCTTCAGGAAGCAGCCCAGATCACAGGCATCAGCATGGGCTTCAGTGGTGACATGAGCTGCAGACATCAACATGGCCCTTGTGTGTATCAGGGCCACTTGTGGCCCTCGGCAGCTGCGTGGTTCTTGAGTCTTAATGTGACCTCAGCTGGTTACACATGCCACTCACATCAGCATTATGCCCTAAGGCAGCAAAACCTGAGCACATTACCAAGACATCAGGCAGTGGCACAGATTACATACTTCCACATGTTCCTGAAGCCTGGGGGCAGCACCAAGGACCACAGGCAGTGATAACATGGCCTGCAGTTGCATCATGGGCCACAGTGGTCTGTTCAGAAGGTCCAATCCAGGAAGTGAACCTTTCTTCATCTCAGGCCTCCATCACTGCCCAGAGCCAGGGGTATCCCAAATCCAGAAGGCAAGTTCAGGGGATGGGGCTCAGTCTGTGTCTGAATAAGCTCCAAGCTGTTATATACCACCCAACCAACCCTACTGGTCAAGATGGCCTGTTGATCTCAGCCCTCTTTCTCTCTCATCTATTACCACCATCACACTCCCAGTTCCACCTCGCTCCATAGCACTCGTGCCACCCTGTTTTTTTCTGTCTTTCCCAACTCTCCATCACATATTTGTTCTTTGTAGTGGTGCCTGACACTACCCCAGGCTGTAAGCTTGGCTGTCTTCATCACTGCCCTGGGCTGTGAGACCCAGCTTGGTTTGTATTTCTTACGGGGCAGGGATCATGGGGATGAACACCTTAGTGTTTGTGTGTCTGATAAACTCTCCGCTACTTCTCCACTTCTGAAAGGACATGGACATATGGTTCATTCATCTCTATTTTGGGGACATGCCTAAAAGGTTGAAATTAGAGCCCCACCTTATCAAACTCAGCACCCAAAATAGATGCTTGCACATCCATGTACTGCAGTATTATTTGCAATAGCCAAAATATGAATCAATAGATTAAAAATGGAAAGTATGCACATTGTTTTCTAAAGATTTATTTTAAATTATGTGTATGTGTGTGCTTGTCTCTGTGTGGATATATGTGTGTGCTGGGGGGCGGGGCGGGGGAGGTGCTCAAGGAGGCCAGAAGAAGGCATCATATCCTCTAGAGCTGGAGTTAAGGTGGTTATGGGCTGCCTGACATAGGATCTGGAAAAAACAAACTTGCGTCCTCTAGAAAAGCAACAATTACATTTAGCTTCTAAGCCATCACTCTAATAAACACAATGGAGTTGTACTCAGCAATAAAGGACAAAATGATTCCATTTATAAAAAACTGGATGGAACTAAATATAATCATACTAAGAGAAGTAACCCCATGTCTTAGTTAGGGGTTTGTTGCCATGAAGAAACACCATGACCATAGGAATTCTTAATTAAGAAGATATTGATTGGGGTTGGCTTACAGTTTCACAGGCTTAGTCCATTATCACCATGATAAGAAGCATGGTGGTGCACAGGTAAACATAGCGCTGGAGAAGGAGCTGAGAGTTCTACATCTGAATCAGCAGGTAGCAAGCAGAGAGGGTGACACTGGGCCTGACTTGAGCTTCTGAAACTCCAGTGCCTCCTGAGGTGACACACTTCTTCTGACAAGACCACAATGACTCCAACAAGAACATACCTCCTAATAGTGCCAGTCCCTGTGAGCCTATGGGAACCATTTTCGTTCAATCACATCCAGATTCAGGGAGATAAATTTTTCATGTTTTCCTCCATAGGCAGAATCTATATTTTTAAAAGGTGTAGAATAAAAGGGAGATTCTTAAGGAAGAGGAACAGACACCAGAAGCAGCACAGGAAATCAAAGAGTGACCTACAGAGGCCAATGTATTCAAAGTAGGCATTATGTTTCCATGGAGATGACATAATAAAATCCATTGTTTGTGCAACAAATATACACTAATAAATTTTTAAAGCATTTCCTAGATAACATGTTCAATGCCATGTCTAGTCTTTTTAAGCTTTAAGAATTTTGTTCAGATTAAGAAAAAATGCCCTACTCATCAATTAATTCATAACTATTTTAATAGGATAGTATTCAAAGCACAGTGGGGTTTGAAATATTTTCATATATAATGTTCTGATGAGAAATATGAAACACTGTTTTTTCCTACGAATGCTAAACAATTAGTCACATTCTTTAAATTCCAAAGTGCTCACAAACACACACACACACACACACACACACACACACACACACACACATCTATGGCTTAAAAACATTGTAGTTTCTCCTTCTGCCCATCAATCCCCATCTCTGAAATTCTCTTTTGAAATTTCAGCTCCAAAAAGAATAATGTAATTTGGGATACTAAGAACATGCAATAGTTCCACAAATAATAAGTCAAATGGCAAAGAAAAGTGACCATTTTAATCATTAGCTAGAAACAAAACTGTGTTAAAAACTAGGAAGAGTTAGACAAATTATTGACAGAACAACTGAAATGATAATCAAAATGTCATTTTTCATGATCATTTATTCCACATGCAAAACTTCACATTAAAAGACTTAGGTTTTCATGGGTTTACTCAAACAGGGGAAATGCGATTTTTATATTTATTTTTGAAGACTTCCATTTTGTGGTTTTTATCTGTAGCAAATTAAGATGAGAGGGAAAGCAAAATGAAAAAAAAATGTTGGCTTATTTTAAGCACTTGGATCTATGCTTATGAAAATGCAGAACCACCTGGCGTAATGGCACCTGCCTTTAGTCCCAGCCTCTGGGAGGCAGAAAGGCAGTGGGATCTTTGTGAGTGCCAGGACAGCCTGGTCTCCACAGTGAGCTCCAAGCCAGTCAGAGCTCCTCACTGACACCCTGTTTTGAAAAGGGGGAGAAGCAGAACCCGAGAATCAGCAAAGAGGAAAGTCAAAGGTTTCATCAGTGAAAATATAAATAAAGTGGAAATAAGAGGTAGAAAGGAAAATAATGTAACAATAATGGAGAAAGAGAGGAAGAAGGGGAGGAAGTAAAGGAGGAGGAAAGGGGGGTACAGGAATATCGCTACACCATCAACAAAGGCAAGCACAAATGAGACCACACTTTTACAAATAAAGGGAGAAAGAGCATAAGTGTTCTACAAACCAAAGAAAACTGAAGGACACTCATGTGCTGTCTGTGAGTTTATATAAGTTTGTTAGTACCCCTCCTCTCTGCTGTCCCCAAGGAGCTCATCTCATATCTCGGGTATGCTCCTTGCCTTGTGAGGTTCAACTGTTCTTCCAAGCATTCCCCAAAAGGCTCTAATACCCTAAATACATTCCACATTCACTCAGGGACATCTCAGCAGGTGGAGTTCTTTCCAAGGCCCATTCTGCCAAACGATCTGTTCACAGGGTCCTGGCAGAAATTTCTCTCATTTCAACCTGTGGTGCCTCCTTATGGTTCCACCAGGCTTCAGCCAACATTATCAATGGAATAAGGAGAACCACCCCTGCCATGCCCATCCTGATTGAATTCTCCAGGGTGTAATCCTTCATGACAGAACCTGGCAGGGGGAACAGAAAACTTTATCAGGCCATCCATCACAGGAACTCAGAAATGCAACTCTTTTCTGTCTACCTTAAAAGAATTCTTTCTGTCCAGACAGTATCCTCTGCCCTGAAATCATAATAAGTCTTTCAAGGGGAACCACATTCATTAATTCCTCACTCTTGCAAGTTTCCTTTGAACTTCCTGGTCTTTGAGTCTGTGCACAGGCCTGTTGGTGGCTATCATCTTTCTCCTCCCCAACCATGCTAGGATTCAGGGGTAGAAATCCTCCATGGACATATGTCTATTCACTTGAATGTCCTTTGTTGCTACCTGGACTTAAAATAGCACATGTTTCTCTCAAGCCTGCTAGAGGGACATGGGGGACCATGGTCCTTAGTTTTACCTCTATCCATTGTGAATATCAAGGAATCATTTTCTCTCCTGGTTAAAAAAAATGATACCAATAAGGAAACCTTCTGGAACTCACACATCTAGGGTTACGGTCTGATTGACAGTTGGGATGCAGTGAACTAGAGTATATTCAAGAGGAAAACAGAAGCAAGAGCAAGTGATAAAATGTCAAGAGAGAAATAGATTTAAGGGCAGGGCAACTGCAAGGAATCTTTAAAGTTCTGTGTGTATGCTGACTACCGACAGTGTTCACATACTTCCTTGTGTCCCCACCCTCTGACACGGGTATCCCTGGTACTCACCTTGTGTGACGTTAAGATGATATGAAGAGTTGGTGGCATCAGGAACTGGGAGGCAGAGGAAGAACAGAAGATGAGGTCTTGATTCTTCCTACAAGTTTTCAGCCCACCTCTTTCCTCTGTGCTTGCTCCAGGAACTTGGCATTTGTTGTAAAGTCACTTCTCTATAGGAATGATCACTGATGCTTCCTGGCACCACATGCTAGTGACACTTTTGTGAGTTTAATTCCATGCTGTCATTCTCTTGAATATTAATTTCTTCTATAAATTTTAGCATTGGCAGCAATATAGTATACCAAACCAAACTGAGAAAGAATACATTTTTTATCGCTTTTTGGAAACTTAAGTATGTTATGTTTTTAAACTACTCTATCTACCTTCCTTTGTAGATTAATGGAGTAATAATATGATGGAGATTTCTTATAGCCAACCTGTGTTTCAATGAGTTTCTTTCTTTTTTTTATAGAATTGTGAATTGCTGTTTTTGGAGTTAGGAAAAAATGCTTTTCTGTCCTCTACTCTCATTGGCATTATTCACCAATCTAATTAATTTCTATATATATTTCTGTATTAAAATATTTATGCTGAGAATCAAACCTAGGGTCTTGTCTTGCCTGCACATGTTAGGCAGATGCTCTACAAATGAGATGCACTCTCAAGACCTTTGTATTTTATTTTTTTAAAGGATTTATTAATGTTTATGTTGTGTCCACAGGTGTTTTGCCTGCATGTGTGTCATATACCAAATTCATGCATCCTACCCAAAGAGTCCAGAGAAGAGCATCAGAGCTTCTGAACTAGAGTTAAAGACAGTTATGAACCACTGTGTGTGTGTGCTGGAAACCAGACACAGGTCCTCTGCAAGAGTGGTAATTGTTCTTAACCACTGAAATGTCTGTTCAGGCCCCAAAGATTTTTTTTAATCTTGTGAATGTGTGTAATGTGTTTCTCTGTTGTATATATACTCACATGAGTTCAGAGCAGTTGTAGGCAGAGTATTGCATGACAGCCCTTGGAGATGGAATTATAGGTGGTTGTGGGCCATCCAACGTAGGTGCTGGGAAACAAACTTGGTTCTTCTTGAAGAGTATCAAGTGTTCAAGTGTTCTTAACCACTTATCTACCTTTACAGTCTTTCATTTCTTTCTTTTTTAAAAAATAACTTTATTTTATGTACATTGGTATGAAGGTGTCAGATCCCCTGGAACTGGAGTTACAGACATTTATGAGCTGCCATGTGGGTACTGGGAACTGAACTCAGGACCTCTGAAAGAGCAGCCAGTGTTCTTAACCACTGAGCCATCTCTCCAGCCCTGCCTTTCATTTCTTAAAAAATGTTTTATTTTACTAAGTGTTTGAGTGTTTTGTTTACATGTATGCATGTATGTATGTATATATGTATGTATGTATGTATGTTTGTATGTGCACCACATGTATGCAATGCACACTGATGTCAGGAGAGGACATTGGATCCTCTGGGACTGGAGTTACAGTTGGTTGTGAGCCACTATGCAGGTGCTGGGAATTGAACCTGGGCCTCAACAAGAGCAACAAGTGCTCTCGACCACGGTGCCATCATCATCTCCTCCTTATGTTTTTTAAGTTAACTGCTTTTCCCCCCCCTCTCTCTCTCCCTCTCTCTCTCTCCCTCCCTCCCTCTCTCCCTCTCTCTCTTCCTCTCCCTCCCTCTCTCTCCCTCTCCCTCTCCTCCTCCCTCTCTCCCTCTCTCTCTTCCTCTCCCTCCCCTTCTCTCCCTCTCTCTTGTCTTACTTTGT